CTTGCTTCTTGCCTCTGCCAGCTGCAGGGGGTCACAGGCAGTCAGCTGCAGACAGCATGCCCTGCTCTGCCTCTGAGAGCACGTGGCCTTCCCTGTGATTCTGTCCCTGAGCTGCCTCTTCTGAAAGGACCTCACTTTAATGTGACTACATCTGCATGAACCAGATTTCTAAATAATGCCACATGCACAGGGGCCAGCGTCCAGGATCATCACATCTCTTTGGGACACAATTCTGCCTACACTCAAGGTCAACAGGAAGGACCAACCCAACCCCACTCTACTTGGGAGTGGGGTTGGGTTAGTCCTCAGACACCATGCTTAGAGACACTGAGCCACCATCAGGGGAAGGTAAGACCAGCATCGGTAGCCAGCCAGGACTGACCCACCTAACACCCAGAATAGCGTACACCTTAGGACTCCCCCAAGGGCCATGGCACACCTTTTTTGGTGTGGGGCTCCCAATAGCCCCATTTGGCCTGGAACTTGCTATGTAGACCAGGCTAGCCTCAGTCTCACAGAGATCCACCTGCCTCTGCTTCCTGAATGCTGGGACTAAAGGCATATGCCACCATACCCCCATACCTTTATTTATGTCACCTGTAGTCACTGCTGGTGGCTGACAAAGTTCTAAGCTATTCATTATAGGAAAAAAAAAAAGAGTCAAAACATAAGGATTTGAACTTGAGCCTTGATTTGGGGAGGAAGCATGCAAGTTTCACCTTCTACCTAGAAAGTAAAAAGTTCTATTGAGTTATTACTTTTCTCCGGATCAATGATGCAGAGATACGTGCAAATCTTGCCTTGTTTTTCAAAGCAACAAACACGATTACTTTTTAAGTACTGGAAACTGCTTTAGACACTCCAAGTCGTCTTTTAAAATATAACTTTACAGATTTCATTTCCATCACTATTGAAGTCTTATTTCCACAAGTGAAATTACATCTAGATACATTTATGTATTACAGAATCACCAACTTGCTGTAGGAACAGAAAAGTTTGTGCAGATTAAAAGAACATACTGCTGTAAGAATAAAGAGAAATGAACTAATAAATTACCAGTTTTTAATAAATCACATCCTTATTGAATGACTTATCCTTCTGGTAAAATATTTACCATTCTCTTTAAAGCCCTTTTAATCAACCAAAACACACAGGAAGCTTTATGTGCCTAGAGACCCTTTTGTGGCTTAACAGTCAAATGATTTTTTAGTGAAGCGCATTTTAATAAGACACAGATTGATTTTGTGTGATTCCAGTTTTGACAGAGCAAGGGCTCTTGGCTCCTTGGGCTGGGGTCAGGCAGTGGGTCCAGAGAGCTGCTGAGGTCAAACTCCAGCTCAGTGCTCCACTGTTCCTGCTAATTAAGAATCAATTTTTTTCAGTTACCTTAGACTTGCTGGCCTGGGCACAAGAGACTGATATGGGTGTTGGGTGCACTGTTCATGTTAGGGAAATAACACCTCAAATCAACAAACTGGAGAATTTATTGAAAACATGGATGTTTAGGCTGGGGAGATAGATAGCTCAGTGGGTAAAGCATGAGGCCCTGAGTTCAAATCTTCAGAACCCATGTAAAAGTCCGATGTGGTTGCACGCGTCTGAGTTCCTACCACAAGACGGAAGGCAGAGGCAGAAACATTCCAGGAAGTTCAGTGCGTGCAGCGGGAACCAGAGATGCTCTGAGTCAGGCGGAGGTGAAGACTGACACCTGAGGTGGCCTTCTGACGCCACACGTTCCACACGTATGCTGGGGCATGTGTGTGCCCACAGACGCTGTCACAGACACACACAGACACAGATTACAAAGAATACAGGGGCTGGCAAGATGGCCCTGCAAACGTGCCCACTGCCAAGCCTGACGGACCTGCGTTTGATCCCTGGGACCACATAGGAGAGATCTGACATCCAACAGGTGTCCTCTGACCTCCACATGAAAGCCATGATGTGCGCCCCCCATGCATACAAAATGAGTAAATGTTAAAAAAAAGAGATTAAAAACTACACGGATGCACAGTCCTTGCCCCATGTGCTTCGAATCCGGAACTGCAAAGACAGGCCTGGGGCTCCGGGAACATTGAGGAAGAGGCAGAAAGGATGATAAGAGCTGGAGGATGGGGAGGGCCGCCGTGACCTGACAGGGACGTGGCACTCGGGAATTTGCTGTAGTTGTGGTGCACTAATCAAGCCAGCCTATGTTCCAGCCTAGACAAGATCTAGCCAGCTTAGACCTCCATGGGGCTTGAGAGCCTCCACGGCCTCGCTGTGGAGCTGTTGGCAAGTGATGGCCGCTGGGGGAGGGGAGCCGTCTTTCTCTGGGGCTGTGGCTGCTGGTGGGTTGCCCATGCCTATGCAAGTCGTGATAACTGGACTCAGTGGGTTATAAAAAAAAGGGGGACGTGGATGTGGGAGGGGACCATGTTGGAGGGGGTCGGGGAAGCCGGAGGGTGAAGGTGGGGTGGATGTGATCAAGATACAGTGTATACATGCATACAATTGTCAAAAAATGTTCTAAAAGGGAGAGGGAGGGGGAGAGGAGAGAGAGACCCGGGGGCTGCATATGCATCAACGCCCCAGGGTTCTTACCTAGGATCACTCTAACCCTAAGGAATTAGACAACTGAAGTCTACTTGTTACTTTTAGACACTTGTTAAATTGAAAATTGCAAAACCAGCCTTTGGAAACTAAGTTTCAAGAGCCACCTAGCTTGTGGGGCAGACCCTGGAACGGCCTGGATCAGAGACAGATATGCTAGTTCAGAGGCGGATACAGCAGGGAGGCTGTGTGGCCAGGCAGCTGTGGAAGGTTCCAGGGTCCTCACACTGCTGTGGCCTCAGCAGACTCCAAGCCTTGGGTTCCTTTTACAAAGCAGACTAATCATAGAAAAAATACTTAATTCAATATTGTCATGAGGACCAAGCCAAACAGTGAGGGAAACCCTTACCACAGCACGGCGTTCCTGAATAAACTTTTCCAGGCCGACAAGATGGGTCTGCAGGTAAAAGTGCTTGCTGTGCAAACCTGACAACCTGAGTGTAAACCCCAGAACCCAAACCCACCGTGGAAGAGTACCAGGTCCCCCGCGGCTTCACACGTGTGTCCTGGCACCTGAGCACCTGCACTCTTGCACCCACATCATGTTCCTTTCCAGGCCGACAAGATGGGTCTGCAGGTAAAAGCGCTTGCTGTGCAAACCTGACAACCTGAGTTTACGTAAACCCCAGAACCCAAACCCACCGTGGAAGAGTTCCAGGTCCCCCGCGGCTTCACACGTGTGTCCTGGCACCTGAGCACCTGCACTCTTGCACCCACATCATGTTCACACACACGAAAATAATAAAGTGAGAAAGCAGCATTCTCATAGGTGCCGTCTGCAGACAGGACGCTCATCAAGGCCGCCAGCTCACGTAGGGCACTAGCTGTGCCAACACGTCCAAATTCTCCCTCTTCAGTCTAATTAAAAATACACAAACACAAAAGAGGAACGCAATTGTTAAGGAAAGCCTACAACTTGCAAACAGGATTTTTTTAAAAGTTCGTTTTCAATTGGCTGCCAGGCTTGGAGGACTGTTTCCATAGCAACAGTGCTCTAAGTAAGGGCAGGATTCCAAGGTTCACAGACCAATCAACCCTTAGTTACCTGGAATCCTGTACATTGAACCCATGTGGTCAAACGGTAATGCTTGACAGGTAACAAATTGAAGCCAAAAAACAGTAAGGGATCAAGACTGCTATTTTTTTTTTTTTTTTTTTTTTTTTTTTTTTTTTCAGTGTCTCCCTGTAGCCCCAGCTGTCCTGAAACTATGTAGACCAGGCTGGCCTTGAACTCACAGAGATCCGCCTGCCTCTGCCTCCCGAGTGCTGGGATTAAAGGTGTGTGCCACCATCTGGCTAAGACTGCTATTTTAAAGCCTGCATCTCAAGGAATGCAGGGTCACATGGGGCCCTGTGAAGAGGCTGCCGGGCCCTTTGGATGTGGAGAGGTGGGCAGTTAAATGTCAGGCTGTATTTCTTCGGGTCCATGCTTCTACTGTTTATCAGCCCTTTGTAGGCCTCTGCAGGCCACAAGTGACCGAGGAGCTTGAGGGTTAGGCCGGCCTGTGGGGCTTCTCGAGCAGACACCCTGGTGGTGCCAGGACAGTCTGGCTGTCTGGGAGGCAGCAGAGTACCTGCCAGTGTGCAGAGGGCCCTGCTTACCTGGACACCCCTTCACACCACTCAGGTGAGCAGGGAGCCGGCCATCCTTGCTACTGAGGTGAAGGCTGACAGGTCACAAAGCCTGCTTTCCTGAAGGCCAAGGCTTTGCCCTGAAGCTTGAAGCAGCTCTACATCAGAGACACCACCACGGCACCTGTGGGCTGAGTTTAACTGGGCTGTCCCTGTGTCTATCTACGGTGGAGTTCAGTGAGTCGTCAGGCGTTAGGGCTTTCAGAGGCTTTGATCTGCCAGTCTGCATCGGGAAAGGACAGGGCAACACGGCCTACAGCTCCCTCTTGGGCTTCCTCCAGGGACAAGCACTGACACGTGGGGGGAGTCTTTTCAGGCCAGCTCCCCTCAAGCACCCAGCCCCCCAGCTTTCCTCCCATACCACCTCCACTGCTACCTAACCAAACTCTATACCAGGCCTTGTGGGCTCCAGGCTTTGCTCATTGCAGGTGTCGCTGGGCAGGGGGCCCTGCCTTGAAAATCTATTCCTTCAGGGAGCCAATTCCCCGGGGTTTCCATTCCCTTTTGGAGGATCTAAAATGTTCCACATGTAGGTTTCATCTGGTCTGACCCAGCTCAATGGAGTGGGAGCCCAAGGGGCCCAACCTGCAGCGCCACCCACTGGCCTGAGGACGCACCAAGGCCGGTGGCCCCTCATTATAGAAGAGCCAGCAGCCCCTGTGCACCCCCAGATCTATAAACAGGGCAGCCCTTTTGAATGTGTCTACAGTACAAAAGGGAACACTTCAAATGCCCGACTCTGCCAGGCTTTCCTCCCAGAAGGACCACACCTTTGCTCAATGTTTCCAATCATTCACGTTTTTATTGTATGAAATCACTTGGTGGGGACAGTGACATGGACTGAGTTCCAGGTCCTCAAATGCAGACTTGAGATGGACTGAGTTCCAGGTCATCAAACGCAGACTCGAGGGTTAGCACTCTAGATGCTGAATTGTGAACGGCAAGAGTTTATGTGTCTTCTATAATCAGTAATAAAATTGTTACTCTGCAAGAATTTAGGCAAGAAAAAGTTCAAATAAAACAGTACTTCTTAAAAACCAGGGCCTCCCACCAGTCACTGGTCATTTTTCAGCCATGATTGGCCGGACCCATCTGGCCAGTAGCTCAGAGGATGGGATTGCTGGGTTTTAAACTCCTGCCAGACTCTGTCAGGTAACTACTGAGGCTGAGCACTGTAAGCCCTCCTGAAGTTGCCTTGAGTCTAAATGGCTAACAAAACTTGACGCACCAAGACCCTGGAGCGCCAGGCCCCTCTCACTGACCGCAGCAGCTCCTCAGGCCGAGGCACCAGGTGTGGTTGATTCTGACTTTTGGCAACAAGCGATAGCTATCTCTGTGGAAACGACCAATACATGCTCTCTGCCATTAGGAAAGCGTTTCCGGCTCTATGCCGGCTCAACAGTCCTTCGTGCTGACCGTGAGATCCCTAACTCTAAACACGTCTCACGTCACTGTGTCTACAGGGAGGGGGCTACTACCTACTACTCATCTAATAAAAAGTTACACAGCCACTTTTATCAAACAGCGACTCCTACAAAAGAACAGCAGGGAAAAAAGACGTCACAAGAGTGCACCAAAAAGTTTGACAATTTTATGAAGGAACCGCCAAAGGTTTAGTGTTTAATAATTAAGACAAGTGACCAAGCTGTGAAGACACCAAGTTTGAGAAACTAGTGTGGGGAATAATCACTCTGTACACTAACGATCCAGGCTGTGAGAAGATGCACACTTCATAAGACCTGTCCACACACAGTAGTTAGTTGCAGAAAGCCACTTGTTTTCTCTTGGCTTGGGAGAATGTTCTGGGCTTCAGTGTAAATCATCAGCAACCTGTTGAAGAAGGAAAACCCATCAACATCGTCATGAGGACAAGCTAACACATCAGCAGCAGGTGAGGCTCAAACGCAATACCAAGAAAGTTTGGTGAGAATCCCCTTCAATCATCTGTTGAATTAAACTCATTTTCTGTGCACAGTATTCCAGCAAAGTCAAAGTATTTAGAAAAAATTTTAAAACGACTTTAAAAAAGTTTAATTTTGTGTGTGAGGGTGTGTGTGTGTGTGTGCCTGTAGACGACGGAAGAGGGTGCTGGATCCCCTGGAGCTGGAGTTACAGGTGGTTGTGGGTGCTTGGAACTGAGCTAAGGTACTTTGCAAGTGCGGCGCTCATTCTTAACCATTGAGTCACGTCTCTAGCAATGTACTGAGAAATCTTCATTACAAATTGTCTGAATCCTTTCTGCCCAGTCCTTTGTTTAGCCATCATCTGACGATCTTCAGTCCACAGTCTTGTAGTCACTGATGGGATGTGGCTGCCACATCATATAAGGGGACACCCGCAGGACACTCCCCAGGTCATTCCTAAACGGGACTAGATGTACCAACGATTATGAGCCCTCCCAGTGGAGCAACCCAGTCTACTGTTTGTGCAGTGTTGACCTCCCAAACCTCTATCTAGTCTCTTGGGTTTCAGAGCAACCTCTGTGTCCATGGCTGAAAATCATACAGAAAGGAAGGGTTATGTACCTCTTACTACAGACAACACTTGCTACACAGGCACACAGAACTCCCAGTAAACTTTTAAGAAACTGAGATGCTACAAAGGGTATGTGAGAGAAGTGAAGTCACCACCACTTACCCCTCCCCCAGAAAACCCAAGCAAGCACAGGCAGGGGCTTATAATGAAGACACTTGCAATACCAAGTGGCTACTGTGTATCTGTCTGTCTGTCCTGCTGGAGGGTAAAGTATGGCCTTCTCTGAGAGGCAGAATTACTCAGTGGAAACTGAATGGAGCCCAGAGCAAAGGAGTCCACAGTAAAAGCTACCAAAGTCTTGGGGCTGGAGAGATGGCTCAACAGTTAAGAGCACTGGCTGCTCTTGCAGAGGATCCAGGTTCGAGTCCCAGCACCGATGTGGCGGCTAACAGCTGTCTGTAATTTCAGTTCCAGGGGATCTGACGCCTTCTTCTAACTGCCTCAGGCACTGCAAGGCATGGGTACACCTACCTACATGCAGGTAATACGTACACACATTAAATAAAATATATTAAAAAATTTTTTTTTTTTTTGGTGTTTTTGAGACAGGGTCTCCCCATAGCCCCAGATGTCCTGGAACTCACTATGTAGACCAGGCTGGTCTTGAACACACAGAGATCTGCCTGCCTCTGCCTCCCAAGTGCTGGGACTACAGGTGTGTGCCACCACGCCTGGCTTTAAAAATTTTTTTAAAAGTCACCAAAGTCTAGAATTTACGACAGATGGTGACATCAGTGTCTCCAAGTCTCTGCTATTTCCAAAACAATGAAAAAGGCAGACCAACAAAACCACATCTGCTATCAATGGAATGCCGTAAGCCAGTCTCAGTCTCAGCTCACTAGCCCAGGGTCTAACTTCCAGGATTGTCCAATCCAGGGCCCAGCACAAAACAGTGAACTTGCTTAAGGCATCAAGAGATTTTTTTTTTGTGGCAAATCAGTCTCCTTGTTCTTGAGTACCAACCTGCAACGGTATGTTGCTGTGAAAGGGTCGGACATGCCTGGCAGCAATATCGGCTCATTAATAGAAACTGGCAGAGTAAATTCTAAGGAATTAGTTTGGCATGAAAAATTCCAAGAGGTGGAGTCTGTGGTGGGGTGCAGAGAGGCATGCTGGGGGCTGTGGGTGGGGCGTGACCTCCGCATCAGGTTACTTTCTGTATTTTGTTTGTTTTGAGGCAGGGTCTCCCTGTAGCCCCGCTGGCCTGGAACTCACTACATAGGCCAGGCTGGCCTCTATCTCATGATCTCATAGAGATCCACCCCCAAACTCCCTCCAGCACCTTCAACTCTTCTGGGTAGCGGCAATCTTGTTATCACCTTCCAGTTCTTCAACCCCAGCTTGGGTCATGAGGTCGGCGATGTTTTTCTCCAGATCGTCAATGCGACTACTCATGTCATCAAGTGGGGGCAGTTAAAGAGCGCACCGCACACCTGCTTCCTCCCTCCAGCCCCCCCAAAAAAAGCAGACCACCGCCCTGACTATACTGGCTTAACAAACTGCCTCCCAGGTTCCTCCGGATCAAGGGTACAGGGGTCCAGCCCTGCCCCTGAAGGTGCTGAGACCTAAAATGAGGTCCTAAGCCTCATTTTTCCATTCACTACTAGATCCTATTCCTCAGGCTTGAAGAGGACCAGGGCGAGCCATGCACAGGGACACCATTAGTGGGGGGCTCCCAGAGCAGCCACCCAGGAGCCAGTACTGTAAAGAAACGTCAATCACTGGCTGATGTCGGTTTGCAAACCACCCACACGGCAAGGAGACCCCCCCCCCAGGCCGGAAGAGGCTTGGCTCCAAATAAAAAGGATATTTCTCCCAATGATCTGGTCCGACATGGTCTGAAACTTGTCTTGCATCTGCTGCAAGAGCGTCTCCACCTAGGAGGAACCAGAGCGGGTCAGCGGAGCAGCGGACCCCGGGAGCCTTTCTAGGGCCTTCGGGACCTCCCGGCAGGGGCGCGACCTTCCCCTCCGCCGTCCTCCTCCCGGACCCCGTGCCCGCTGGCCCCGTCCTGCCAGCGGCGGGGCCGGCCAGGCGAGGCCGGGGCTTGGCAGGTGTCGCTAGGCCGCGACCACACCCGCCGCCCGGGTTCGGGGCCGGGCCGGCCGCGGGATGCCCCCGCCCCTCATCTTACCACCAAGGTGATGTCCTGCATGGTCTTGGGGTCCGTCTCGGCCATCTCCCCGGTGCCCAGCTTGGCGGCGAAATCGCGGAACCGTCACTTACACTTCGGTTTGTTGGCGCAGACGCCCTCAGCCGCCACTTCTCGCGACAACACAGCCGCGGGATCGCGGGGCATTGTGGGGATTGTAGTCCACGTCAAGCACCAGCCGGGCTTGCAGTCCTGGTCTTCCTTCAGCGGCTAGGCCCGGCTCTCTCGCGTAGCCCCGCCCCTATCTCCTCCCGGCCCCCTCGCCCTGCATGTAGCCGGGAGCGGAAGAGGAGAGAAAACCGGAAGTGGGGCAAAGGAGGCAGGAAGTGGCGTTGACCTCTTTATCAGGTGAGGTCTCTAATGGGTAAAGGAGCTTGCAGCCAAAGCTGGAGTCATGAGTTCAAGCCCCCCCCTCAGTCCACCTGTGTTCACGCCCCATAACCACAGGAGGGAACTGACTCACAGTTGTTCTCTGCCTTCACATACATGTTGTGCCCCCCCCCCCAACTGAAATAAAATTTTTTTTTAAAACTTAAAAAAAAAAACACCTCAGATTTTCTTGGCTGAATGTCTGCCCGTAAGCAAAACCCCAGACGACCTGAAAGTTCTGTGTCAAGTAATGACCAAGCTGGCCCAGTGGCTCAAGCCTGTAATCACAGGAGGATTCCAAGTTCAAGGCCTGCCTGGGAAACTTAGACCCTGTCTCAGAAACAAAAAAACAACAAAAAGAGGACGGAAATGGGCTGTAGCTCAGTGGCAGAAAACTTGCCTAGCACAAAGCTCAGTACCACAAAAACAAAACAAAGGCCCCAGGCTCCATCTCCTCCAGCCCTTACCTGGCTTCCTCCAACCCGTGGCTGCCTAGCGTTAAGTGGGGAAGGACTTTGTGAAGGAGGAAGTTAATCCTATAGTCCCGCCCTGCCTTGGGCTGCTGCCTGCTAGGAGTTTAGGGAAGGTACTAGTTAGGATGTGAGGTGTGGCCCGATCACTCCCCAGGCAGAGCAGCCGATGTGATCTGAAACTGTAGGCATTCTCCAGGGTTCTGCGGCTCAGTGAATTGATGAGAGTTATGTGGATGGTTACAGGAAGGAGAGGTTATCAAAGGAGAGACATGGCAGAATCTGGAATTGCGCTAGCCCTAAGGAATCCAAACCCAAGAGAAGAAGGGGCAGGGCCTGTGACCTCCCATGGGTCATTTTACACACTGTGCAGTTTCCTGCAGTCTCTCCTACAGGTAGCCTCTTCTGATGCTTTCTGTCAAGACAGGACCCCTACTTCCAGCCCCTCAAGTGGCCTTGGAGTTGGGTCTTGTGAAAGTTCCCAGAAGAACTCCTGTACCTGGGACTGAACATCCGGTAAGGCTTACCTACTGATTAGCACTGCGGAGACTGTGGAGAGTCTGGAATGACGCAGACTGGAGCCCATTCACAGATTATCTGGGGAGATCTTTAACCCCATAAACAGGCAAACATTGCCTGCCTCTGTTTCTGAATTAACATTCTTGTGACTAGTAAAATGCATTAACTTGGCAGACTACCAAGTCTCACCAATCAAAAGCTAAGAATGTCATCAGATGGCATCTGAGACCTACAAGTAGAAACAACAGCCCCCCCCCATGACCCACCAGTGTATTGAACGGTGTCTTGATTTATGACCTTCTTTGTTCTGTTACTATGAAAACATAATGTAACTATTACCATGCCAGACCATGGAATTTGGGGGTAACCTGAATCTGTGATCTCGGGCCACGGTCACTCATATTTGGCTCCCCAATAAACTATCTCTTAGCCCCTTTGAGGTGAGAGTTAGGCTTTTTCCTCGACAGTCTCAATAGTGGGATAAGAGACTCCTTGACTGTTGGTCTGGCCTGATCCAGCAACTCACATGCCCCACCTCAGAGGACTGTATTTGGGGGTCACTCCAGTTTGAGCTTAGCTGGAGGGAGGCTGTAAGTCTCAATAACATTTAACCAAGATGGATCAGGCTTGGCCTTGGTATGCCATAACAGTCTCCTCCAGGTACACTCTCTCCACACCCCCACCTTTCTGCCCCCCCCAATTCACTTCCTTCCTGTGATAAGCATGCAAAATTTTTGTGTGTGTTGGGGTGTATGTGAGATATGTGTATATATGTGTGTGTGCACCTGTGTGTACAGGGGGGTTTACATGTGTGTGTACATGCATGTGGAGGTCAGAGGTCAGTGTCTGGTTTCTTTCTCAGGCACTCTATTTTCTGAGACAGGGTCTCTCAATGAACTCAGGGATTCAGCTAGACTGACTGGCCAGCAAGCTCCAGGAGCCTTCAGGCTTTGCCTCCTCAGCACTTAAGGATACTTGTCATGCATCCAGCTTTTATGTGGGTGCTGGAGATTGAACTCAGGTCCTCATGCTTGCAAGAAAGCATTCTATCAACTGAGACATCTCCCCAGCCCCCTGCAATCCCTTTTATAAGTGGCATCTGGCTATGTGAACTAAACATGCCTGTGTTTTACCATCCCTCAGATGACCCTTGAGAGAGAATCATCACCATTTAACAATCTTGAGAAACCAGGCACAGGGTTGCTAAGAAACTTGCAGGCTTAAAAAGATTAAGGAACTAAGAGACACAGAACTTTCTGATCATGGCTTCTCTCTCTTTTTGTATTATTCTAGAATTCTCTTGAGTTTGCTCAGCGTGGAACAGGGACTTTCCACAGAAGCACTCTTATAAGGACAGATATTGCTTGCTGCTGGGAAGAGGGTGCCTGGTGTGTGTTGTAGGAAGTTGGACGGCATGTCTGACTTCTACCCACTATCTACCAGTGGCAGCCCCGCCCCCACTCCTAGTTAATGACAACTAAAAATATCTTCCATAAAATTTCCAAATGTGTCTGGGGGATGAAGGTTACAGGAACCTGAGAGTATTGCTAGAATTCTGGGCACTGTTTCTTTGCTGTGTGCATATCTTTTAAAAATATTATTTTTATATTATTTTATGTGTATGAATGTATGGCCTACACATATATAAGTGCACCTGTGTCATGTAGTGTCCACAGAAGAGGTCAGAAGAGGGCATTAGATCCCCTGAACTGGAGTTATAGGTGGTTGTTAGCTGCCATGTGCATGATGGGAATCAAACCTGGTCCTCTGCAAGAGCTGTCAGTGCTCCTAACTTCTAAGCCATCTCTCCAGCCCCTATAAGTGAATCTTGTGCACGTGTCTGCGTCTTTGTGTTCACATGTATGTAGGTGCATGTGCGCATGTGTGTGCATGCATGGGGAGGCTAGAGGTTCATGTTGGGTACCTTCTTCCATTGGTCTCCACTGAGGCAGAATCTCTCACTTGAACCTGAGCTGACTGATGTGGCTAGTGTACAGCTAGCTAGCTCACTCTGAGATACCCCTGTCTGTGTGAGGATTACAGGTGGGCCACCATGCCCACTGGAGGCTGCCACGCCCACCCGGAGACTGCCACGCCTACCCAGCTCTATGTAGGTCCTGGGGATCTCATCTCCGGTTCTCATGTTTGCACAGTGAATGTTTGAACCACTGAACCATCTCTCTCACCCTCTGCACTTATGCTTTAAAAAAATTATTTAGGGGGTTGGAGAGATAGATCAGTGGTTAAAGGCACTGGCTGCTTTTGCAGAAGACGTGGCTTTGAATCCCAGCACCCACATGGCGGTTAACAACTGTCTGTAACTCCAGTTCCAGGGGATCTGACACCCTACTGTCCTCTGTAGGCATTGTATGACACGGGTGCACTTACATACTTGCAGGCATAACGTTCATATACATAAAATAAATAAATAATAAATAAAAATTATTTAGGGGTAGAGGGGTGGTTCAGTGCTCTTTCAGAGGAACTGATTTCAGTTCCCATAACCCATGTGGCAACTCATAACCACCTGTAATTCAGGCTCCAGAGATCTGACACCCTCTTCTGGCCTCCACCCCCCTCACCTCCACCCCCCCCGCATACATGCAGGCATAACACTCATACACATAAATAAACAAACTTTGATTTTTATCTTTTTGAGACAGGGTCTCATTGTAGCCCCAGTTGTCCAGTGTGAATTTATTTTTATTTTTCTATGGCTGCTTTTTGTTCATATTTATATATTAACATGCAAGCTTGCTATATCTGTTTCCTAAGACCACTGCAACAAAGGACAGTACTCCAAATTGGGTGACTTAGAACAACAGAAATGAATTCTTTTATTCTTTCACAGTTTGGAGACAAGAAGTCTGAAACCACTGTGCTAGTGGGTTGGTGTCTTCTGAGGACATTACACATCTCCCTGGCTTTTGGCAGTGCAGGCTGTCTGGTCTGGTCTGTCTAGTCTGTGCTGGTGGGTGCATCATTCTGACCGCTGGCTGTTACTGCCCTTAAAGGGCTGCCTGTCCCTGTCCAAGTCATTCTCATTTCATAAAGATCTATCTATCTATCTATCTATCTATCTATCTATCTATCTATCTATCTATCTATCTATCTATCTATCATCTATCATCATCTATCATCTATTGTCCATCCATCCATCATCATTTATGAGTGGTGAAAGTGTGTGTGTGTGTGTGTGTGTGTGTGTGTCTGTCTGTCTCTATCCACCCATCTATCCATCTATCCACCCACCCACCCATCCATCCATCATCATTTGTGTGTGGTGAAAGTGTGCGTGTGTGTGCCTGTGGGAGCCAAAGATTGCTGTTGGGACATGCCAGTCATTTTAGATTAAGGGCTCTTAATTATTATATTTGTATTATATTATATACAATTCCACCCCTAAGAGTGGTAAGCAAACAGCACTTTAAATTTGCACCATGTTAGCTATACTATAAAGAGTTTTCATGGTGCTCCTACCTTAGTATGTTGCCAAGGTCAAGTATGACCTCGGGCTTCTGACTCTGGGCCCTGACTGCTCAGTGAACCCTGGGCATCTGCACTGGGGTTTCCAGCAAGGGCTAGTCTATGCTCAAGAACAAGCCCAGACCATGGTAGTGCTAGGACCTGGTGGATTGCAGTTTCTTCCTGACTTCCCCCCCTTTTTAAAGAGGTTTATTTTGAGCCAGGCATGGTGGCCAGTCTCTGTGAGAATGAGGCCAGCCTGTTCTACATAGTGAGTTTTAAAGGGAGACGTTGTCTCAAAAAAGGGTTTATTTTATTTT